GAAAGCAGGCGTTCTACCACTTGAGTCACTTCAGTCCCATTTACATTTTTTTTTTACAGTACTGGGGTTTTTGAACTCAGGGCCTACACCTTGAGCCACTCCACCAGCCCTTTTCTGTGATGGGTTTTTTCGAGCTAGGGTCTCGCGATCTCTTTTGCCGGGGCTGGCTTCGAACCACAATGCTCTTGATCTCTGCCTCCTGAGTTGGCTAGGATTACAGGCGTGAGGCTTCCTTTACAGCTTTGTAATGGCTATAAACTTTGTATCTGTTTTCTTGGGGGAGTAAAATTAACACAACTTAATTACTGCATTCTTTCTAAAGACACAAGACGCTCACTCTAAGGTTTATGGCGTTGGGACAACCATGTGTCTGTCTCACGCCAGCAGATCCAACCCCAGAGCAACGCTATTTGTATGGAGACTAGAGAATAAGTGAATTTACGTATGCCGGCGCAGGCATGAAAACCCTACTGGGTCTGTTACGGAGGTTCCGATGGAAGCGCCATGCTTCCATCGTGACGTTACTAACCTCCGACATTAGCACCCTCTTCTGCCCCTTTGCTGGCGAACAAGTCTAAACTCTCAGGTGGTATTCGAACCCTCCATCCCAATCACCAAAACTCTGCTCCCAGAGCGCCAGCAAAAGGCTGACACCACTGCGCATGTCCTGACGCAGTGACCAATGGGCGCAGAGGCGCAGTGGCACTACGGAGGCCGCGAAGCTTCGGAGAGCAACAAGGACCAGAATGCGAGCACCGACCAATCAGAGCTCTCGAGCGCCGCCTCCCGCGCCAATTGCCCCTCGAGTGCTTTGAGAGCGGTTCAAAATTGAGGAACCGAGGGGTCGTGGTAAGCCAGGTTAACGTGACGAAAGGGAGAGGGCGAGGGCTGACCCAAGTGTGAGCTCCGCCCGAAACATACGGGAGTAGCGGGGACAGAACGGGGTCTGGGGACGAGCCGGCTGACCCCTGGGCAGGAACGAGGCATTCCTTCACCGTTTTCCGCTGTCCACCCCCATAATCAAAATGGGGCGGTGCACGATGGCCCCCTCCGCAGTGGTCAGTCCCGGGCGCGCATTTTCACTGGTGCGATTCCCCCCACGCCCGACGTGGTTTATTGTAGGCATTGTCACTACTGAGTTCAAACCCTACTGCCACCAAAAAAAAAACAAATCAAAAACAAAACAACAGAGGTATCCAGTAATAGGAACAATATGAAAAGCTAGGTTAGAACAATTAGTAAATCGCTTTCTTCCACAATGGAAAAGAAGTTCTTTCAGGGGCTAACTAGAAAAAAAAATGCTTTGGGTTTCTTATTTACAGAAAACATTTTAGGATTTAGGGCTGGAAGGATGGGTTAAGTGGTAGAGTACCTGTCTAGCTAGCGTGAGACCCTGAGTTCTAAACCCAAGTACCACCTGAAAAATAAACATTTAAAACCTGTCTGCTACTTAGAAATAAAAACACGAAGCATACAAGACTTAGTAGTACTTAATAGGACTAAGGCTTATTGACAACTTCTAAAACCACTCCTTACCAAACTATGCTTTTTTTTTCCGGGGGTGGGGGTACTGGGCTTTGAACCCAGGGACTCCACACACTTGGTAGACAAGTGCTCTACCACTTGAGCTATGCCCCAGCTCTTTTTGCTTTTGGATTATTTTTCAGGGTGGAGTGTTTCGTTTTTTGCCTGGGGTGGCTACCTATGCCTCCCAGGTAGCTGGGATGACAGGGCCTTTCCACCATGATTGAGATGGGGTTTTGGTAACTTTTTTGCCCAGGCTGGCCTCAAACCTGGATTCTTTTTTTAAAATTTTTTTCTTTTTAATCACCCCCTAGTAGCTGCGATTACCTACATGAGCCACAGCACCTGGCACAGCATTCAACTCTTAAATATTAATTTAACAAACAACCCAGAGATGCAGCAAGGTTTAGAATCCTGTAATATAAAGGAGTAGATTTGGACACAAAGAAAAAAGTACAATGATGGAGAATGAAAGAGGAGAATCTTATCTTGGCACTTGTTTGGCACCTCACAGTTTAAGAACCATTTCTCACAGAACTGGGTTCAGCTTTACCGCTTGTTCACAGTGAACAAAGGGCAGGTGGGACAAGCCTTCTTACATCGTGCATACTTTTCTGAACAACAAGCCCTGTCCTCCAAATGAGGCAACAGGGATCCTCTCCAGGGGAAGCAAAGAAAGGCCAATGGTCTGTCGGGGGGAGCCTGTGGCCTTTGTTGTGGATGATGGGCCATAATTCCAGAACTTCAGGCCCCGTTTTTCTTTTGGCAGTACTGGGGTTTGAACTCAGGGCCTCACACTTGCTAGGCAGGTGCTCTACCACTCTAGCCACTCAGCCAGCCCTTTTTTACTTTGGGTAATTTTTTTGAGATAGGGTCTTGTGAACTATTTTCCTTGGCTGGCTTCAAACTTCAATCCTCCTATTTTCTACCTTTTGAGTAGCTAGGATTACAGGCATGAGCCACCAACACCAGCCAGGCCCTGTTTTCGAATGCAGGACCCGCAGAAACATTAATTCCAATAAATCTGAAGTGGCCAGGTGTTGTAGTACACACCTGTCATCCCAGCACTCAGGAGGCTGAGGCAGGAGGGTCCTGAGTTCAAGGCCAACCTGAGCTAAATCGAAAGGCCCTGTCTCAAAAAAATCATATGGTTGTGGGGGAAGCACAGATACTGAGGTTGATGAAAGATCTATTTTGGCGGTCTGGTGCATGGAAATGAAGGCAACAGTCAGACGAAATGACTGTGCTACAAGGCAGATGCAGAGGACCAGTGCCATTCCCTGGTTGAGCTTTGAGTCCTGGGGCGGTTCAGTTACCAAGATTGGTTTATTACAGCTTCAGGAAAGGTGGAGGGTCTGGTACCGGTGGCTCACACCTGTAATCCTAGCTACTCAGGAGGCAGAGATCAGGAGAATCTCGATTTGAAGCCAGCCTGGGCAAATAGTTCCTGAAACCCTATATCCTATCTCGAAAAAAACCATCACAAAAAAGGGCTGGCAAAGTGGTTCAAGCCATAAGAGTGTCTGCCTAGGAAGCATGAGGCCTTGAGTTTAGACCTGTGACATCATGAAAAAAAAAGGTGGAGGACTTCTTTCGTGGGTGAAGCACATATAGTGTAGGAAACAAAGTGCTCTTCATATAAAGTTCCCCCACCGCACCACCAGATTAAAACTACACGTACCTGTGGTCCCAGGTACACAGAAGGCTGAGGCAGGATTGCTTGCTTGAGGGCCAGCCTGAGCAACACAGTGAGACTGTGCCCCACCCCCAAAACAATACCAGCCCGGGATTCCTGGGAGTGTGTGCAATGCCAATTAAGACTGGAGAACACTAGGAACTGCGGTGGGGGTTGCCCTCCACTGTCTGTCTTAGCAGTCGTTTGGCCAATATTGAAAACTCATGCATTCTGGAATGACAAATTAAATTGGTCTGTGGCAATTACTTTGTTTTTTAGACAGGGTCTCCCTATGTAGCCCAGACTAGCCTCGAACTTGTGATCTTCCTGCATCAGCCTCTGGAGTGTTAGGATTATAGGTGTGTGCCAGCACACCCAGTGGTATTTAGCAACTATATTTCACATTACCATATTGGTAAATCACTCCTTACTGGACACATGGCCACTGAGCTGGGAAACTCCGTTTTTCCTATACCTGTTTATATTGGCTATAGACTAGTTTGCCTTTGCTTAGCAGGGACAGCAATATACTTGTGTGTGCACGTGTGTGTGGTGCTGGGGATGGAACCCAGGGCTAGGCAAGCAATCCACCTTTGAGCCACAACTCCAACCACAATCTACCTCCGCAGGTGCTCTTACTGCTTGAGCCACTCCACCAGCCATTTTGTGATGGGTTTTTTTTGGAGATAGGGTCTCACCAACTATTTCCTAGGGGAAGGCTTCAAACCGTGATCCTCCTGATCTCTGCTTCCTGGGAGCTAGGATTACAGGTATGAGCCACCAGCACCCGGCTGTCAGGCTTTTTTACTTGTGTCTTGGATCTCAGTTAAATACCAGTTATTACATGAGTGTTTTAGCAATTGGGGATGATTTCAAAACAACTGTGTCTAAGGCTCTGACTTCCCTTGTTGACTTTGTATCTCGGGCCATGAAACAGGAAGATTCAGGATTCTGACAACCTTTTTGAGACTATAGTTAGTCATCTGGAACAAGCAGACAAATTCTGACCCACACACAACTTTTAACCTCCAAGCAAATGTTTAGGGACTAAAATGGGGGCCCAGAAGTGAACTGGCTCCTTTGGAAATTAGAGCTAACACATCCCATTTGTGGGTAAAAACTTCCTTTCATCTTGCAACAGCAGCTTGGCGAGTTCTCACTTGGTGTGTTAGCCAGTTTTCCCTCACTATGATGAAATATCTGACATAATTAACTTACACAGAGGAAAGGTTTATTTTGGCTTATAGTTTTGGAGGTTCCAATCCATGATTGATTGGCTCCACTGCTGTGGGAAAGCAGCACATCACGATGAGAGTAGGGGTGGAGCAAACTGCTCACCTTGTGAGCCAGGAAGCAAAGACAGGACAGGAAGAGCCTGAAGTGTCACATTCCCCTTCAAGGGTCCAGCCCCAATGGCCTAAGTGCCTCACACCATGCCCCATCTTTCAAAGGTCCACAGCATCTCCCACTAACATCACTGGGGACCAATCCTTTAACACAGGGAACTTTGAAGGACATTCAAGATCCAAACTATAGCACTTAGGAAGTTGTTCTGAAATACGGCATTCCAGATTCCAGTGTCTGCTCAGGAGAGAAATTTCACAGGTTCTATATTCCAAGAGTGACAAATGGGTCATTTAACTTGTCCTGAACCTGGAGGAGGGAGGTAAGACTGACAAATGAAAAGGTTCCCCCACAGTCAGCTCAGTTCTCACCATAACTCACAGCTCAGCATACCACTTGTGATTTCATCCTTCTACTAAGTATTAAAAATGATTTTTATTATACTCTCAATTCTGGGAAATACTGAATTTATTTCTAGTCTCCTTTGTAGTCCATCCTTGTACCCTTGTCCCTGGACCACAGGGAGGATGGTACAGTTTTCCTCTCATGGTCACGAAGGAAGCTGTTTTGAACTGTGCAGGACTGGTGGAACCTGGTGACAGGTGTGGCCCCACTCAGTCTTCATCTGAGTCGCTGGGGCCCATGTACTGGCAGATGGAATCATAATGAAGCTCCACCACCTGACTCTCTCTATGCAGCTGCACCAAAGCTCGGCTCCGTGTTCTGTCCCGGCCCAGCAGATGTCCCACCTAGAGGAGAGGTGGGATGAAGTCATCAAGGCCAGCCTAGACCCTGGGACATCCCTTGGATGACCCCAACCCCCCATTTCTGGGTCCGAGACGCACCCTTCCAGCCTGCGGTCCCAGCACCACCATCACACGTTTGCCCTCTACTTTGGGAACCAGAGTCTCCAGCATATCTTCCTTTAGGCCTGCAGATAAGAAAGAGGGGAAATGAGGCCCAGAGCAAGGGCCAGCCCAGCCAGGTCATGTCAGAAGGGCCTTTTCCATATTCCCTAGAGCAACTCTATACCCTGTTGGCAGGTAGAGTCCAACTATAGCCACTGCCGAGCTGAGGGAAGCTAGGAAATATTTCTATTTCATAGAAATAGCTGTAAGAAAGAGAGTATTTACACACAGCAGCTGTAGAAACAGACACCCTTTATTGTGGGTCCTGCCCTGCACTGCGAGCTCAGAACAGCCCTGTAAAGGTATCAGTCTTCAGAGGAAGACAGTTATTTCCATGTTAACTTACAGATGGGGAGAGTGGGGCTCAGATAACTTCTCTCAAGAAAGCATATCATGTTCTGTGCCTGGTCCTGGCTCTTGGCCTTTAAGATGGGAAATCCCCAGCTGCCATGGCTTAGATTTACCTTCCAGGATTCGGCCTTCATCTGTCCGACACACACAGGTATCTGGGCTCAGAACATCTTCAATTGTCATCTGGGGAGATGGATAAGGAGAATGTGAGATGTTAATAGGAGGCAGGCCCTGAGTGAGGAAGGGGACTCAGACTGTGGGGTTCATACCTTGGTGTTGTAGTACTGGCCACCCTTGTGGAGCTTGTCTACAAACCGGACGCGCAGGTCCCTGTGCAACCAGTGATGACTCCTGGAGGCTGCTTTTTCACTCTTGGCCGCAGGCCCATCCTGTCTGTGAAAGAGGTCCGGTACCAGGCTTAGCTCTTTATCACACTTACGTTCCACCCGCCCTTCCAACCTTTACTATGAAACCCACCCATATTGCTGCTCCTAGTTCCTTCTACATGCCTACCTTGCCCTGGAAGCCTTCCCTGACTGCTTGAGCCTCCCAACACCCTGCCTTCTTCCTCTAGCCCCATGCCCGGGGTCCCACCGGTCTGGAGGGTGTTTCCGCTTCCTCTCCGAGTTCTCCTGCCGCCCATGGAAGTCTTGCTTCTGGAGGGCCTTCGATGATGATGGTGTTCCATTTGCTTGCCCTGAGGATGTTTTGTTCACTTGGCCTGTTCAAGGGGTGTTGGGAGATCCAGGAAAGATCCTCAAGTGTCTTACCGCTCTGTCCTCCCAAGACCACATATCACCTAGGGCCATCTCCCTCCTGACAAAGTGCTCCTGCTCCCCATGCTGCTTTTGCCAAGGCTATGAGAACGCCTCTCCCCTTCCTCTTCATCATTCTGAAGGCTCACTGAGGGCTCACTAGAGGCAGCCACCTAGTGAGCCACAGACAGCAGAGTTGTCTGCAACCACCTGTCAAATTGTCCCTCCTGCCACCACGCTGGGCTGCTTTGCTTGCCTCCTCCTTGGTCACATCTTAGTGGGTCTCACTCCTTAGCAAAACTGAGGGCCACCAACCCAAATAGACAAGGACCTCCTGAGGATAGGAACAGATTTCCACATCTGTTTCAACCTGCTTAGAGAGAGGCTAAAGACCCAGGGTCACAATCTTTTTTCAATCAAACTGAATAAACTGGGCTGTGAGTGTGGCTCAGTAGTAGAGAGCCCACTTAGCTTTTGTGAGTCCCTGGGTTCCATCCCCAACACAAACAAACAAAAATGAATAAATTACTCATGTCCCTTCTCAACTGCTAACCTCTGACTGGAAGTCACATACTGCCCTTCCTCGCTGCAGATAGAAAACCCACCTCAGGAGACAGGTGCTTCCCCAACTCCCCTAGCTACTTCAGAGGCTCACTCACCAGCATGCAAGGCATTTTTGTCAAATTCCTTCTGGGAGACAGGCTGAAGGCAGTACTCACTAACGGTCACCATGCGGCTGCCCACTGCCAGACGAACCATGGCCCTTACGTTGTCAGGATCAAGGCCTTCTACCTAAAATGGGGGGTGGAATGGAGGTAGACAAGGATTGAGTGGACTTCACCCACATTTCTAAGCTAAGCTATCCACCCCTTCCCTCCAACAGGCTTTACCCCTGTTTGTTTCGTCTACCAGGCTGTGATCCTTGAAGGCTAGAACCAGGTCTGGTTCCTGTGCTTCCTCTACTAAACTGTGACCAATGAGAAGTGGGACCGGGCCTGGCTCCTGTGTCTCCCTCAGTAGATTGTGGGGCTCAGACATCCTTCTAGCATTTAATCCTCATAGACCTAGTGGCATATGGCATTATCTCCCTTCTGGCTGGGAACAGAGGCTCGGAAAGGCCTAGTAAGTGGTCCTTGGTCACCTAATGAGGGCACTGGGTTGGGCCAGAAGGACTTTTTCACTTTTCTTAAAACGCAAAAAAAAAAAAAAAATTTTTTTTGGTGGGACTGGGGTTTGAACTCAGGACTTTGCACTTGCAAAGCAGAAGCTTTTACCACTTCAGCCACACCTCCAGTCAAAAATGTTTAAAAAATTAAAAATAAAATACTTAAAAGAATTTAAGCCTGAGGTCTGTAATCTTAGCTACTCAGGAGGCAGAGATCAGGAGGATCGCAGTTCAAAGCCAGCCCAGGCAAACAGTGCATGAGACCCTATCCCGAAAATACTCAACACATCAAAGGGCTGTTGGAGTGGCTAAGTGGTACTGCACTTGCCTAGTAAGTGTGAGGCCCTGAGTTCAAACCCCAATACTGCAAAAAAAAAAAAAAAAAAGAACTAAAAAAACCCAGCAGTAAAGAAAACAGCTTTAAAATGTTTGCATAATTACACATACTTTAACATTTCCACATTCTTTTTGTAACTCAAGCATTTAAATTTTGGAACTATGTTAACTTACAGGTAATAAACATCTTCCTTGCCACCTGTCTTGGGCTCCAGGGATATCTTAATTCCTTACCTTCCCGTAGAGGCCACGGTGAGGGCCAGAATGGACCAGCACAGCTCTTCCAGGCATCAGTCCTTGAGGAAGGTCTTCCTTATCCTTGTCTTGCTCCCCATCTGGCTTTGGCAGGTGGTAAGAGCCAGTGGAGGCCAGTGCCTGGGCCTCAGTCAGGTTGGCGCCTAGTCCTAACCCCTTGGGCCTCAGTGAGTTGATGCGGGGCTTCACTACTCTGCAGAGAGGAACAGATGCAAATGGAGGATTCAACAGTCTTTAGTGTCTCAGTTCCCTCCTCACTGTCCAAAACCCCATTGGTATTTTCAAGAATGTCCTCTCCAATCTTGAATTAGCACTGTTTTGACTTATAAAAATGGGAATTTCTTTTTGTTTTGTGGTGCTAGGAATCAAACCCAGGGCTTCATACGTTAAGTACGTTCTCTACCACTGAGCTAAACCCCAAACCCCAAAATGGCAATTTCATTTTGGTTCAACCTAATTAACATGCTTGCTCTTACGTCATATTTATAGTGGTGTCTAAGTTAGTTCACTGTAACCAAATACACTAATATTTCTACAGAGGGGATCATATGAAGATGCACACTAAGAATGGAAAATAGAGTGTAGAATGCTCAATACCAACTATGGTCACATCTGGCTGCCAAATGGCTTATGAAAAAATATTTGATTTTCAGAATTTTTTTGGAGTTTGCAACTGCAAAGGGATTTTTTTTTTGTGGAACTGGGGATGGAACCCAGGGTCCTGGGCATGGTGCTAGGCAAATACTGTACCACTGAGCTTCAGCTCCAGCCCAAAGAAGGGATTTTAAGTCTGTAATAATAGCACATGTTTAGTCCCTGCTTACTGGGACTGCTTACGGGCCCACTATGCGTGCTTCATGAGAAAAATTTCATTTAACTTAAGCAACAAACTTGTGAAGCCAGTACTGCTACCCCCAATTTTTTCCTATGCTGACACAATGTCTTACCCCCCATTTTTCAGATGAGGAAACCGATCCCAGAGAGGCAGACTTTACATAAAATGGATCCTCTTATGAAGTTTCAGAGGTAAATTGTAGTTTTAATCTTTTATTTTCTTTTTTGGTACCAGGGAAGGAAGGGACCTGGGGATTTTCACATGGAAGTCAGTCCCTTTACAATTGGGCCACGTCCCCAGCCCTGGAAGTTTGAAATGGTGGTGGAAGAGCAACTGAATTGGTGAGGGATAACCTGTCTTCCCTCCCTGCCTGGATGGTTTTGGGTTGGTGGGAACCATGGGAATCTTGTTCACACCCATCTGTCCAACCCTCCCCCTCCCCCGGAACTCACTGATTGAAAGTGCGGCCAATACCCTGGCCAGGTTTCCAGCCCATGCCCCGCAGCATGGCCAGCCCATAGGCCTCCACGGGGACTGCCTCATAGTCAGCCTCTTCTGGCACCTACGGGTTCAGGTAGGAGAAGGTGGTCAGGCTTTGCAGTGTATTTGCTGTCCTCAGTGGGGTGACCTTCTATGCTTCTGGCCCTTGACCAGTCAGCTCATGGGGGAATTCAATCTCCTCTTACCATCCCTGACCTTATCCCCCGACATTCAGCCCTTCAATACATTTTTACAAGTAGTGTTCTAGATGCTGAGGATAAAGCAGTGAACAATTTTACAGACAATCCCTGCTCTCTTGGAGGCTTATGTTCTAGTTATTAAAATACACACATACACACACACACACACACACACGCACACAATTCAGAGCTGGGCATTGGTGGCTCATGCCTATAATCCTAGCTACTCAGGAGGCAGAAATCAGGAGGATCGCAATTCAAAGCCAACCCGAGCAAACGGTTCCAAGAGACCCTGTTTCGAAAAATCCTTCACAAAAATGGGGCTGCTGGAGTGGCTCAAGGTGAAGGCCATGAGTTCAAGCCCCAGTACAAAAAAAAAAAATTCAGGGGGCTGGGGGTGTGGCTCAAGTGGTAGAGCACCTACCTAGCACACGTGAAGGCCCTGAGTTCAACCCTAGTACCACCAAAAAATAAAACAGGAACAAAAAACCCAGTATCACCCCCCACCAAAATTTAGAAAATATGGTACATCAGGCAGTAATAAGTTATACGAAGAAAAAGAAAGAAGTGCTAGACACAATGGCACCATCTGTATTCCCACCTACTTGGGAAGCTTAGGCAGGAGGATTGCTTGAGCCCAAGAATTTGAGACTAGTGTGGGGACACAGTGAGACCCCACCTCAAAAACAGCAGGTTAAGGGAATGCAGAGGGATGGGGAGGGATTGCCCCTGAGGTGACAGAGGAAATGACAGAAGGAACCATGAGGATATGAGAAGGAAGAATGTTCCAAGCACAGAGTATTGTAAGAGCAAAGACCCTGAGGCAGGACAAGACTTGGTATGTGTGGTGAGTATTATGAAAGTCAACATGACTGAAACAGACATGTTGAGGCACAGAAGGGGCAGAAAGAGATTAATGAGAGCTCCACAGAAGCCAGAAGGCCTTGCTTGAGTCAGGTGGGAGACACAAGAGGAACCCATAAGAAAATTACTGCAATAGTCCGGATGAGTGATACTGATGCCTCAAACCAGCATGCTGGAAGTGGTGATAGTGAGAAGCCTTTAGATTCTGGATGAACTTTATTTTTTTTTATTTTCTTTTTCTGGATGCACTTTAAAAAAGGAGATGATAGGGTTGAGTTGACAGACCTTACATGGGGTATGAAAGAAGGAGGGGAGTCAGAGATGGTTCCAAGGTTTTTAAACTGAGTGAGAGAAGAGTGGATGGAGCTGTGATCAACTGAGATGCAGAAGGCTGCAGAAGGAGTCTTCTAGAAGGGAAATTAGAAAAATGAGGTCAAAGCTGGAAGAGCAGAAAGAGTAAAGTGAGCCGGGTGCTGGTGGCTCACCCCTGTAATCCCAGCTACTCAGAAGGCAGAGATCAGGAGGATTGTAGTTCGAAGCCAGTCCAGGCAAATAGTTCACGAGATTCTAGCTTGAAAAAACTCATCACAAAAAAAGGGCTGGTGGAGTGGCTTAAGGTGTAGGCCCTGGGTTTAAATCCCAGTATTGCCAAAGAAAAAATAAAAAGAGTGAAGTGAGGGCTGGGGGTGCCTTGGTTCCCATCTCCCGCACCACCAAAAAAAAAAATGAAGTAGAAAAGAGAGAAAGGAGAGAGAGAGAGAGAGAGAGAGAGAGAGAGAGAGAGAGAGAGAGAGAGAGAAATTCTTTTCTTAGAGAGAAAGAAAAGTTCTTTTTTTTTTCCTGAAGATGAAGGAAAACAGAGCACATCTGAAGACTTCTGAGTCTAGTTCAGTTGAAAGAAAGGTTGGTCTGAGGCTGTAGGAAAACTAGATCCTAAAGAAGCATTACAAAAAATTTATGAATGACGAGGTGAAGTTGGGTCCATGGGTACAAAACACAGACTGGTTATTTCCATGGGCATACTTCTCATATCTCCTGTTATCACCTCCCACTGTCACTCATTCAAACCTTTACATTTGCTCTAGACACACCAAAAGTTGCCTCACTGACCCACTGACCCATATACCACACTGATTTCCTGCCACTGTGCCATTGCTTGGGCTGTGCTACTTTTCCCTCTCTCATGAAACCTGATCTATCCTTCTAGGCCTCAACTCCTACCACTCTGCTCTGAGTCCTCATTACCTCTAGCTTGGACTACTGGTCCCCTCGCTTCCCCACCTTCACTTACTAGTCTGTTTTGCTTACAGCAGCCAGAGGAGAGGGATCCTGTCAAACTGTAGGTTATAACCCTTCTCTTCTGAGGGCATGCCTATGGCTTTCATTTCACTCAGAGTAAAAGCCAAAGCCCTCCCTGTGGCCAAAAGGCCCTGCTTAGTCCAGCCTCCTCTGTGTCATTGACTGTTCCATCCCCTCACTCATTCTAGCCAGCTACATTGATCTCCACATTGCTCCTCACCCACTGCATGAAAAGAAAAAGAAAACAAACAAAAGTCACTCCAGGCAGTGTGTACCCTTATGGTCGTTACCATTTCTATTCCCTCTGTTCTCCATCTCATTCAGATAATCCCAGAATTCATGTACCTTTTCCACACCCTGAGATCTATTCATTAATGCTTCTGAAAAAGGATGGAAGGAGGAAAGGATAGGCAGCAAGCCTCTTAGACACACACAGACTTTTCCTGCTCTGTGCAGGGAGGCAAGCCAGGCAGCCAGGACAGAGGTACTGGGGCAGGAGAGGGGCAAGGGGAAAGCTCACTGTCTCAGTCTGGGGTTCGCTGTCTGCCTCATCCTCATTGGGAATGCATCCTTTCTGGATCACGGGGATGGTGAGTTTGGGGTCAATACCTGCATTCTCTCTGTCTTCCAGAGACTTCTTGGATTCTAAGGAAGAACGGGAGGAAGCAATGAGGTCACACCCTATGCTTGCACCTTCTTCCCCTTCTTCCTTCACTGGAGCAGGGCTAAGGGGTAGGCACTCACCCTCAATGAGCTCTTTCACAGCCTGGGACAGTACACCATCCAAGGCCTCAGTATCAGTGGATGGCCCAGGGATCTGGGTCAGTGGTTGTCTGCGATAACCATTCTGGATTAATGGGATGACTAGTTCCTTGGGGGCTTCTGTAGGCTTCACACTGATATGAACACAGAGGAGTGAAGTTGGGAGAGTAGCAGAGTTAGTGGGTTTGGAGCCACATTCACAGATAACACAAGAGCTAAACTCACTCCCCGCTTCATAGGCCATGCTCTACCTTCTGCTGCCTGGCTGTCCTGTTATGACTCTGATGGTGCATTCCTTTGATTATCCCACAGTTCCCTACAACTAACACACACACTCTCACACTCTCTCTCTCTCTCCTCTGTCTCTCTCTCGGTGGCACTGACGTTTGAACTTAGGGCCTCATGCTTGCTAGGCAAGTGCTCTACCACTTGGACCACGCCCCAGTACTCCTTCCAACTCGTAAATGTCAGTGTCTTCCAGGAATCATTCGTTCCTAGGCCCTCATCCACAATAACCGACAGATCACCATCTTTAATCCAGACTTTAATCCCTCTACTCCAACTCCAGACTCGATTGCCTTCTAGACGGCTGATTCTCTTCATCAGGCCCTTCATATTCTCCTTCCCTAATTAAGCTGATGACGTCCTCCTTCAGCCTGAATCTGCTGTTCCATCCCTTTCTCCGTATAAGAGAAGATCCATCATTTCAGTTGAGATACCAGGGGTCCTGTCATTCTCCTCTCCTTTCCCTTTCTCAGAACGCACATAATCGTAGTGTCCTCAAGTCCTAAAGACTCTCTGGCTCAAGAATATATTCTCGTCTTAAGCCCCACGGCTACCAGACCAAACTTCCCCACTTCCCCTACAAACTCCCGCTGTCTCGCCTCCATAAATTTTCTCAAGCTATGTTTCAGGCTTTTCAGGTTACATTCTTCAGGACAAAGTAACTCAGATTCCGTCCTCCCACCGCACCGATTTACAAGGGCTGAAAAACCCAGCGATTCACCTCTGTAACTGCCTCCCTTCCACGGTCTTCAAGAAATCTTTCTCCTCTGGGGCCAGTCCGGCGCTTTCTCCGCAGTCAGGCAGCCGCCTCCGGACAGACGTGCGAGTGAAGCCGAATGAAATTGGGGCAGTTGAACCTGCAGCCGGCTGCAAAACACCATCTTCGGTACCCGCCATCTTGCCCCGGTTCCCAGATTGGCGCGCTGCTTCCTGGGAAGTTTAGTTTAGGCCCAATAAGCTAGGGGGCAGGCGAGGAGCATAAGAACTACTTTTCCCATAATACACTGTAGCATCGTCAGGCGAAGGCCGACACGGGACCGTGGGAAACAATAGCTGCTCTTTTAAACTTCCTAGGAATGCGCCGCGCGAAGCACACCGGGAAATGTAGTTCATGAACATTGTCCAATTGTGGAAGAGCTATTCATTCTTTCCAGGTGTTCATTGCTTCATGTAAGTGTTTGATAAGTATTTACTGAACACCTACGGTGTGCACTTTTTTGTGTCTTACTTATGTAGGAAGTACAGGTAAATTAATATAAAAAAAATCAGGCGTGAGGTCCTGATTTGATCCTTGGTACCTAAAAAAAAAAAAAAGATTGGGGATGTAGCTCAGTAGTGGAGCTCTGAGCGCTGCCTCTAATGTGCTCAAGGCCCTGAGTTCAAACTCCAGCACCGCCAAAAAATAGAGATCAGTGAGCGCTAGTGTCTACAATAATAATTTGATACTCAACAAAGCAGTGAATTCAAATACTAATACAATAGTCCTTTTTGTAGAGTCTCATAGTCCATTTTTTGTGGTGCTGAGGATCAACCCCGGGCCTCTCATGCTAGGCAAGTGTTCTTGAACTATATCTCAAGATATAGTTCTGAACTATATCTCCAGCCCAGAACAGTCATCTCTCTGTCTCCCTCTCTTGTTTTTTGAGACACTATCTTACTAGATAGCCCAAGTTGGCCTGGAACATAGTCTAGTCTGGCATGGTCTGATCTTGAACTCCTCACTTCTAATGCCTCTGACAACTGGGTGCTGAGATTATAGGTGGGTATCACCATGCTGACTCTCTGTCTCTCTCTTTCCTCACATTTAAACAGGTATTAAAAAATATATAGCAACAGTAAAGATTATGAGAGCCACTTTGAAGCTTATATTAAAAAAAAAAGACTGTGAGAATCAGGTCCTGATATTTCAAAGATTAATGAGGCAGAACCCTCTTATGTAGGACCTTAAGAATTTCAAGTGCTGCTGAGCGCCCACAGCTCACGCCTGTAATCCTAGCTATTCAGGAGACAGAGGTCAGGAGAATCATGACTCAAAACCAGCCAGGGCAAATAGTTAGAGACTCTATCTCAAAAAAAAAGGGCTGGTGGAGTGGCTCAGGTGGTAGAGCGCACACTGCCTAGCAAGCGTAAGGCCCTGAGTTCAAACCCCATTACTGCCAAAAAAAAAAAAAAAAGAATTTGAAGTGCTGGGGATTAAATTCAGAGTCTTCTGCATGTTAGTCAAGTGCTCTACCAATTAACTATATCCCCAGCCAACCTCAAAGTTTTTTTAGGAATGGGGCATGTATAAAGTGGTGGGAGTATTTAAGCATGGGGCTCTGAGTTCAATCCCCAGTATTACCAAAAAATAAAATAAAATAAAATAAAATGGTGACAAAGTCACAGTGTTTCAAAAAGGAGAATAGTAGGATGATTCAGAGAATGGTCTTAGAAACAGAAGCTCATTGTTTATCCAGTCTCCTGTCTGTGCTTCTCATGGCCCTAGAACCTCAATTGAGAAGGCACTGGTCTTCAATATACAACACAATTGTTTAAATTTTCATTTAGAAATTATTTTAGACTTAAAGAAATGTCCCTAAAGTACTATGGAGTAGTCCTATGTATTCCTTAACCAGAGTCCCTTAAACACTGTCTGTAACAGTAGTATGATTGTCAAAATCAGGAAATCAACATTAGTGCAATACTATTAAAGAAACTATTGACTACTTCCTCTTCCAGGATCCATCTGGGATCTCACACATTGCAACATACTTGTGTGCTTCCTTTGTCTTCTCCAGTCTGACAGGTCTTTAGCCTTGGTCTTTCAAGTTCTTTAAAACTTTCAAAAAGTAACAGTTCAGTCATTTTGCAGGACTTTCCTCAATATGAGTTGGTCTGATGATTTCTCATAATAAGACTAATGTGAGCTTTTGGCAGGAGTGTCACAGATGATATGTCTTTCTAATCAGGTCATATCAAGGGTAGTATGATGTTGGTATGTTATATTACTTTTTATTAATATTTATTTAGGGAATGTGGGCGTGGCTCAAGTGGTAAAACACTTAATTAACAAGCATGAGGCAAGGCCCTGAGTTCAATAGCCAGTACCACTAAGAAAAAAAGATTTATTTAGTTAATTATTTAGCTTTTTTTCCCTTTTTTTTTTTGCGGTACTGGAGTTAGAGCTCAGAGCCTTGTGCTCTATCACTTGAGCCATTCTCCAGCACTGTTTGTTGTTATTTTTGAGACAGGCTCTCATGAGGTAGCCTAGGTTGGCCTGGAACTCGTGATCCTTCTGCCCCAGCTTCCTAAGTAGCTGGCATTATAGAAATGTGCTACTACACCTTTCTATCTTTTATTTTTCTTTAAGAGACAGGGTTTCATTATGTAGCCCAGGTTGCCCCAACCCTCAGGCTCAAGTGATCCACCTCAATCTCCTGAGTCTCAGGGATTACAGGTGACACCACCATACTGGGCTGATATGTCATTCCTAATGGTATTTCTCCACTGGCACTGTTCCCTCTCAAGCATACTGTCCATGGCTGATATGATACCCATTTCCAGGGCAGCACCTGAGGCAATGTACACAACACAGGCTCACACAGACTCAGGCCGGAGGTCCCTGAGCGAATCCCGTCTCAGCCCAGGCTGGCCTGGAACTCTAATTTTCCTGCCTCAGTCTCCTACTGGGATTACAGGTGTGTAGAACCATGTTGGGCTCCTTTTGTTGGTTTGTTCATTCAATGAAGTTTTCTTGAGTGCCTACTCTATTCCAGGCCTTGCTCCCAAGGTGCTCTTAGGAAACTCAGGGAGTACAAGTGTGCTTAACACTGTAGATGCACCAATGGCTGTGGGGAGGACTGGCTGAGTAAGCACAAGGCAGATTAATTGTGCCCAGTACTCTTTCCAGGAGGGGCTGAAGATTGAAAATACATTCTAAAGGATGGCAGGAAGTGAAACTGGGTGATGTGTAGGGACTAGGTCAGGCACAGCAGAGAATTAAGGGCTTAGGACTTTTTGCTGAGGTCATGGGGGAGTTATGAAAAGGTTACATGATACGTCAAAATTTGTGTTTTAGGGACTGGGGGTGGTAGAGCCCTTCCAGAGCATGCACAAGGCTCTGGGTGCCATCCTGAGTACTACCTGAAAACCGTGTTGAAAAAATGAGGTATATGAAAGATACACAGTCAATACTCTAGCATGAAGCCGAGTTCAATCCTACCAAAAAAAAAAAAAAAGAGAGAGAGACAGCCAATATTATCAAAATGCAAAGCACTCTTGGAGTTTAATAACTATAAAAGACAAGCAATATCACACTTAAAAAGAAGCAATAGATATAATCACATAAGCCACACATATGAGATATAAATAGCCTATCCAGGCATGGTGGTACCTGCCTGTAATCCCAATGACTCAGGAGACAGAGACAGAGATAGGAGGATCACTGTTCCAGAACATGCTGGTCAAAATTAGTGAGACCCTATCCCAAAAACAAACTAAAAGTGGGCAGGGTGTGGCTCAAGGGACAAAGTGCCTGCTTAGCAAGCGTGAGGCCTTCAGTTCAAACCCCAGTACTGCAAAAAAAAAAAAAGACTGTTAATTGTGTAGTGGCAGCTGGGAATGTAGCTCAGTGACCATAAGGCCTATGTTTGATTCCCAACACCACCAGAGGAAAAAAAAAAGAATGAAAAAGACTACTAATGGGGTCTTACTTGATTGTTTTTTGGTATCTTTCTTGACTCTTACCACTGGTCAAGTAGAAAATTTGGTAAATATATTTCTTTTGGTTCTTTTTTTTCCCTTTGGTAGTCCTGAAGGTTGAACTCAGAGCCTTGAGTTTGAGCAAGTGTTCTACCTCTTCAGCCACACCCTCAGCCCTTTTGCCTTTATTTTTCAGATAGGGTCTTGCACTTTTTGCTCTAGCTGGTTTCAGACAATGATGATCCACTGATCTCTGACTCCTGCTTAGCTGTAGTCAGAGCAGTTTGAAGTCAGGGCCTCAAGCTTGCTAAGCTGGTACTCCATCACTTAAACCATGCCCCCACTGGCTTGTTTTTTGAGATAAGGTTTTGCCAACTTTTGTCCTGACTGCCCTGGAACCAAAATCCTCCCATCTTTGCCTCATGTGTAGCTAGGATTACAGGTGTGTAAATGTCACAGTGTATCTCCAGAAAAACAATAAAAAATTGCAGACAGTTGGCAGAATGGCTCAAGTGGTAGAGTGCCTGCCTAGCAAGCACAAGGCCTCAAGTTCAAACTCTAGTACTGCAAAAAAAACATTGGGGGCAATTTAAGTGTCTACCCCATAGTCCTGGCTCCTACCCAACAATATGCATCTATGTATCTTTTTTTTTTTATAGTACTGTGGTTTAGAGTCAGGGCTTCCTGTTCTACCACTGGAGCCATGTTTCTAGCCCACTATGTATCAATTAATCATCTACCTAGTTATATATCTATAACTTAACATAGTTGTTAATACTGATAAGGCAAGTCTTATGTATTATTTGTGACAATTCATCAATCTGTATGCTTACAAATAAATCTGTGTTACACTGCTATTAAATAGGTAAAGCTGGAAGTGGTGTGGTGGTATACTCCTGTAATCCCAGCACTTTGAGAGGCTGTCAGGAGGATAGAGTTCAAAGACACCCTGGGATACATAGTGAGACACTGTCTCAAAAAAAAAAAAGTAAGCTTGAAGTATAGCTCAGTGACAGAGTGTGTGCTTAGCTTTATCCCTAGCACCAGAAACAAAAAAAGGTTTAAAAATTTCTTCATGCATTGGCAGATGATAATATCTAGAATATATTTTGGGGGTAGAATTCAGGGCCTTGCATTTCCTAAGAAGCCAGATTGTCAGCCCTTTTGTGTTGATGATTTGTGACTTTTTTGGTGGTACTTGGGTTTGAACTCAGGGCCTCATGCTTGCTAGGCAGTGCTTTACCACTTGAGCCACTCCACCAGCCTAGTTTTGTCCCTGTTTTTGAGATAGGGACTCCTGAACTATTTTCCTGGGGCTGGCTTTGAACCATGATCCTTCTGATGTCTGCCTCTTTAGTAGCTCAGATTACAGGTGTGAGCCACCAGTGCCCAGCTCTCACATCCTGCACAAGTTTGTCCTAACTGGGAGTGACAGACAGAAGACCAAACATGCATAAAGCTGGGGCCAGTTAGGCTGTGTGCTCGGATGAAGACACACCAGCACCCTCCATCTCCAGTGAATTTATTATATACAGTGGCAACACGAGGTGGAGAGGCAGTTCTGGGGGGGGGTGACTGTGATCCTCGGAAACAGGAGGAACCTGTGACAGCTTCTCTCTGAACTTAAATATTAAAGGAAAAAACAGCTGTACTGCATCTTACCCACTTCTGCAGCTGAGGCTGTGCCAACCCAAGCGTGCAATTTATTGGACACAACTATGCTTGCTGCCTTCTGCAGTTTGGGGCTGTGCCAAACTCAAACCCACAGCTTATTTGAAACACCTGTCTGCTCTCCACACGCAGCTGTTTTTTTTTTTTCCAGTGCTGGGGTTTGAACTCAGGGCTTACACCTTGAGCCACTACACCAGCCCTTTTTGTGATGGGTTTTTTTCAAGCTAGGGTCACTCAAACTATTTGCCTGGGCTGGCTTTGAACCACGGTCCTCCTGATCTCTGCCTCCTGAGTTGCTAGGATTACAGGTGTGAGCCACTGGCACCCAGCCATGTGTTGGTTATTTCCTTCATGCCCAAGGTAACCTGGATCTGGATCCTATTTGTGCTTCCCTGGAGTAGGTGAGGATGACAGGTGTGTGCCAATGCTCCCAGCATTTGGTTGAGATGGGGGTCTTGTGAACTTTTTCTATGGCTGGCCTGGAACAATGATCCTCCTGATCTCAGCCTCCGAAGTAGCTAGGATTATAGGCATGAGCCACTGTCACCTGGCTGAAAAGCTCTTATGACTAATAAATTCAGCAAGGTTACAGGATAGAAGATCAATAGTCAAAAATCAAGTGTCCTCAAGAGGCCATGAATAGCCAAGGCAATACTCAGTCAAAAAAACAATGCAGGAGGTATCACAATACCTGACTTCAAACTATATTCAAAGCAATAACAATAAAAACAGCATGGTACTGGCACAAAAAAAGACATTAAGACCAGTGGAACAGAATAGAGGATCCAGATATGAAGCCACACAACTATAAGCAACTTATCTTTGACAAAGGAGCTAAAAATATACGATGGAGAAATAGCAGCCTCTTCAACAAAACTGCTGGGAAAACTGGTTAGCAGTCTGCAAAAAACTGAAACTAGATCCATGTATATCACCCTATACCAAGATTAACTCAAAATGGATCAAGGATCTTAATATCAGACCACAAACTCTAAAGTTGATACAAGAAAGAGTAGGAAATACTCTGGAGTTAGTAGGTATAGGTAAGAACTTTCTCAATGAAACCCCAGCAGCACAGCAACTAAGAGATAGCATAGATAAATGGGACCTCATAAAACTAAAAAGCTTCTGTTCATCAAAAGAAATGGTCTCTAAACTGAAGAGAACACCCACAGAGTGGTAGAAAATATTTGCCAACTATACATCAGACAAAGGACTGATAACCAGAATATACAGGGAACTTAAAAAATTATATTCTCCCAAAACTAATGAACCAATAAAGAAATGGGCAAGTGAACTAAACAGAACTTTCTCAAAAGAAGAAATTCAAATGGCCAGAAAACACATGAAAAAATGCTCACCATCTCTAGCAATAAAGGAAATGCAAATTAAAACCACGCTAAGATTCCACCTCACCCCTGTTAGAATAGCCATCATCAGCAACACCACCAACAGGTGTTGGCGAGGATGCGGGGAAAAAGGAACCCTCTTACACTGTTGGTGGGAATGTAGACTAGTACAACCACTCTGGAAAAAATTTTGGAGGCTACTTAAAAAGCTGGACATCGATCTACCATTTGATCCAGCAATACCACTCTTGGGATATACCCAAAAGACTGTTACTCCAGAGGCACCTGCACATCCATGTTTATTGCGGCACTATTCACAATAGCCAAGTTATGGAAACAGCCAAGATGCCCCACCACTGACGAATGGATTAAGAAAATGTGGTATCTATACACAATGGAATTTTATGCAGCCATGAAGAAGAACGAAATGTTATCATTCGCTGGTAAATGGATGGAATTGGAGAACATCATTCTGAGTGAGGTTAGCCTGGCTCAAAAAACCAAAAATCGTATGTTCTCCCTCATATGTGGACATTAGATCAAGGGCAAACACAACAAGGGGATTGGACTATGAGCACATGATAAAAGCGAGAGCACACAAGGGAGGGGTGAGGATAGGTAAGACACCTAAAAAACTAGTAGCATTTTGTTGCCCTTAACGCAGAGAAACTAAAGCAGATACCTTAAAGCAACTGAGGCCAATAGGAAAAGGGGAACAGGTACTAGAGAAAAGGTTAGATCAAAAAGAATTAACCTAGAAGGTAACACCCACGCACAGGAAATCAATGTGAGTCAATGCCCTGTATAGCTATCCTTATCTCAACCAGCAAAAATCCTTGTTCCTTCCTATTATTGCTTATACTCTCTCTACAACAAAATTAGAAATAAGGGCAAAATAGTTTCTGCTGGGTATTGGGGGGGGAGAGGGAGGGGGCGGAGTGGGTGGTAAGGGAGGGGGTGGGGGCAGGGGGGAGAAATGAACCAAGCCTTGTATACACATATGAATAATAAAAGAAAAATGAAAAAAAAAATCAAGTGTCCTTCTATACACAATCTGAAAATAAAATTAAGGAAAGAGTTTCTGGGCTAGGGTGTAGTTCAAGTGAAGTCCTGAGTTCAAACCGCAGTACCACCAAAAAGAAAAAAAAAGAAAGACAATTTATACCTACAATAGAAAGAAAATAATAAAATACTCTGGGCTTGAAGTGGTAGAGTTCTTGCCTGGCATGTGAAAAGTCCTGGGTTTGATCCCTAGCACTGGAAAATAAGTAAGTAAGTAAGTAATAAATACTTAAGGGCTGGGCGCAGGTGGTTCACGCCTATAGTCCTAGGGAGGATGAGACTGGGAGGATCATGAGCTGAGGCCAGCACTGGCAAAAAGTTAGTGAGACTCCCATTTTAGCCAATAGATAGGTGCATTATTGTCATCCCATCCAGGGCAGGGATATAAAAAATAACCAAAACAAAAAGGCCTGGAGGCATGGCTCAAGCAGTAGAGGACCTGTTTAGTAAGGGTGACACCCTTAGTTCAGATTCAGGTACTGCCAAAAAAATAGAAGCTGGGTGCCAGTGGCTTGTGCCTGTAGTTCTAGCTGCTCAGGAGGCAGAGATCAGGAGGATCACAGTTCAAAGCCAGACCTGGGAAAATAGTTCAGGAGACACTATCTCGGAAAAAAAACATCACAAAAAAGGGCTGGTGGAGTGGCTCAAGGTGTAGGCCCTGAGTTCAAATCCCAGTACCAAAAAAATAAGTAAAATACTTAGGGATAAATTAAACAAGGAAGTCATAAGGATTATGCACTTAAAACTATAAGACATTGTTAAAAGACACCAAAGAAAACTTTTATGAATGCTTATGGAAGGGGGTGTGGTTCATGTGGTAGAGAGCCATGTGCTTACAAAGCCTTAGGCTTGATTCCCAGCACAGACAGGAAGGAAGGAAGGACGGAAGGAAGAAAGAGGGAAATATATTCTACACAGTTCTGATTCTAGTTTTGGAGGGTCCTGACTCTTAAAATATAAATATATTATTTTTATACTCGGGTAGCTAAGCATTTAACAAAGAGGGTAAATGACCTACAAAAGTTCATTTTGTCTCCAGGTAGTAGCAGACACTGGAACCCATGTTGCCTGGCTCCAGAGTTTGGAGTCTTACCAGATTCTTTTTTAAAAACATTCTTTGTGAGCATATATGAGCTGTACAGAGGGATTTCATTGTAACATTTCCGTATGTGCTCACAATGGACCTTGATTAGATTCACCTCCGTCATTCACCCTCATCTTTCCTTACCTGATTCTTGATACTGACTCAGGGGTTGTGCTGGAGTTCCAGCCTGGCCCTGTCCACTGCCCTTCTTCCACTCTCATTGTCCTCCACCACCCTCCTCACCTTCCTAATCCGAAGGTTTATTAAGGCAGCCCACAGCACCATGGAGTATTCACAGCTCCCCAAAAGTGGCCAACGTTTTCTTGCCTGACTAGTATTTACCATGCTAGGACCTCAGGAAAGGAGGCAAATGAGTCGTGGGATAGGCCAATATCCATGACATCCTTGTGGTCCAGCTTGATGACCACAGGGGGAACAAAAGAGACTGAGAAAACAGTTGAAGACTCTCCATAGAATCTACCGAAGCCACGCCCCCTTAATTAACATTCTACTCACGTCTTTGAACTCACATCCGGGTCTTGTCAACTCCCCTCAGATAATCCTCAAGGCTCCGCCTTCTTTCCCTCTTTCTTTTTTCTTGGTGGGGGCACTGGAGTTTGAATTCAGGATATCATACTTGCTAAGCAGGCGCTCTACCACTTGAGCTACTCCTCCAGGCCAAGGCTCCGCCTTCTTAACAAATAATCCTGGGCCAGCCATGGCCAACTATTTGAATAATCCTCCAGACCTTCCTACCTGCCACTAGTAACATGCAGGCCCCACCCCTCTAATAACACCAGGAGCCCCCACCCTGGAGCTTTCTATCACAGGATTTGACTCCTGAACATGCAGGCCTCGCTCTCTAATGAACCTCTAAAGCCTCAACCCATTCCTCACACTTCAAGCTCCGCCCCCAATGCATTCGGAGTTTGCACCACTGGACTGGCATCCCAGACCCGCCTCTTTGCCGAGTACCCCTCCCCACCACTCCCCAGGTTCCACCTCCTCAGAAAACACTTGAAGTCCCAGTAATCATCCAGCACAGCACCTTCAATGAATCTTCGGGCGCTCGCCTGTCGCAATAACCCTAAAGGAATACGCTGGCAAAACACAAGGGCCCCCTCCTCAAAGCATCCTCCGAACCCCGCCCTCCAGAATCACATCCCATTCCCCGCCCCCCCGACACTTTAGAACGCAGTCCCTCTTAGATCCCGCCCCCTGGAAACCCCGCCCCGTCACCTACCCTCCTTGCGCAGGCGCAAGGTGGTGCCCGCCCTTCGTACCAGCGCTGACAGGTCGGTCGCAGCTCTGGCCGCCAGGGGGCGCGCGTCCAGCCGTGCCAGGAGCTGACGGGACCTGGGGCCTGCAGGTGAAGGCCACAGATTACGCAACACCAACCGTGAGTTTTGGTGAACATCCAAGATTCCGACGTTCGGAAGACCTAGAGAAGACCCTCAAGATTCCATGAGGGGGGGTGGTGGCCCAAGTAATGTATAGACATGTAAGTACATGTAAAAACGATAAAAATAAAAATAAAATTAAATAAAATAAAAAAGATTCCAGGAGAAGAATGGCGCCGGTAGCTCACACCTGTAATCCTAGCTACTCAGGAGACAGTGATTAGGATTGCGGTTAGAAGCCAGCTCGGACAAATAGTTCGCGCGACCCTATCACGAAAATACCCATCACAAAAAGAGCAGGGTGGCTTAAGCAGCAAGAAGGAGGCCCTGAGTTCAAACCCCACCATCAAAAAAAAAGATACCAGGAGAGTGCTGGGTGTGTAGCTCAGTGGTAGAGTGCTTGGGTAGGGCACTTGCCTAGCACGGCTGAGACACTGGGTTTGAAGCCATGCACCAAAAAAAAAAAAAAAAAAAAAAAGAAAGAAAGAAAAAAAAAGAAGGAGAAAATAAGAGATCACCGATGGTCTCTTTCTGTAACCCCCAACCACAGCAGGTATGCCTTGCCCGTATAGCCCCTGGAGGTATACGTATATATGACTCCAGTAGTCATATATAGTTCGAATACATGATAAATTTCTCTGGAACTCCACGACTATCCTCTAATAACTCTGGATACCAAACTTCTCCCACTACGTCTTCCGGGACCCTGCTTCTCCCAGACATCCCAAAGAACATGGCCTGCGCTCCCCCCACCCCACCCCTGCTGGCCTAAAAGCCCCTGGTTCCTTATCCAGATATTGTAAGCACCCCTGCTACCCCAGGAGTTCCCTTAGAGGCTCCATATTCCCACGTGGCTTAAGTGCTTTCAGATTCCCCTTCCACAGGGGTCCAAGGCTCCCAGTTCCCCCACCATAGTCACTACAGACCCTGTGTGTCTAGGCGTCCTGCATGACCTCAGGCAGACTTCTCCCTGCACATTTCCCACATTCCTGAGAACTTTCTTCCTACCCCCTCTTGTCTGGTGCACCATTCCTCTGCTCAGATGTGGGTGTGAGTAGAAGGTCTGGAGCCCAGCTAAGGTCGCTGGACCCCTGCCCCTGCTTCTGCTGCTTGGGCACCAGAGCTGTTCCATTCACCAGCTATAGAATGAAAAAGATGAGTAGCAGTTAGGCAGGGCGTGGGCAATAGAAGATGGACATTTCCTTCCCTGCCCCACCCGGGTACCTCCTCTGTTCCTGTTCTGTGGTTCCCCCTGCATGAAGCTACATGGCCAGTAGTAGGCCCTGTGGATGCTTGGCCACCTTTGACATGTTGGAGCTCATGGCCATTAATCTGGAGGCCCGCCCAGGTCTGGACACTGAGGCCAGCCAGTCCCCTGCCAGGTGCCTCTACCTGCAGGGTGACCTACCTGGCTGCGGTAAAGGAGACCTGGCTGTGGGAGCCAGTAGGAGTGCTTGGCCTCATTTGACTTCACGTGTTGTCCCCACTGACTGAGGACACTGGCCTGTGCTCCTCTTTCCACTCAGGGGATGCTGTTATTCCAGGCATAGGAAACAGAAGTCGAGGTCCAGAAAAGTTAGGGCACCGTCTGAATCTGAGCTTTGACAACTAAAACCAAGGATCAGAACCAGAACCCAAGTTTATTAGAAAATTCTGTAGATTCCAATAGAACTTTTCAGTGAGCATTTGACTACCATGGTCTCTACCTGGGAATTGGGGCTACAGAGGGGCCACATTTGGAGTTTTAGGTGCCACAGAAAATTTTGGGGTCCTAAGCATCCTGGGGGCTGGAGGACTCAAAAGTGAGTAGGGCAGCTCCCCTGCAGAGTGGTGGTGGCCTGATATAAGGAGGCTTTAAGGGTACTAGGGTGTGATGGGACACACCAGGGCATGTCTGGGAACATAGGCCTCAAGGAAGGAGGACTTGGGTACAGTGCAACTGTAGTGGAAGGAGGAATGGAGTTGCAGTGAGAGATAGCCTGTGACCACCTCCCTGAACAAGAAACTGAGGGTCTGAGAGGCTCAGAGACCTGCCCGGGGCACCACAATCAGCCAACAATGCTGGTCTCAGGCAGCTTAGTTTCACTTAGTCATAGTGAACAGTTTCACTATGTGGCATGAACACATTGTATCTCAATGTCTAGGCTGGCTGGCTAAACAACCTCCCTTTCAAGGCCCAAGTGTTGTGAGATGAAAGGGGTCTCTGCTTTTCTTCCTCCTTTGATCCCCTGCCCCTTCCATCTTTGTGAGAGACTTCTGTTTGTTTTTGCAGTACCAGGATTTGAACTCCCAAAGTAGCTGAGATTGCAGCCATGAGCCATCCTGCTCAGTCTAGAGAAGATTTTTTTTTTGTGGTACTGGGGCTTGAACTCAGGGCCTACACCTTGAGCCACTCCACCAGTCCTTTTTTTGTGAAGGGTTTTATCGAGATATGGTCTTGTGAACTATTTGTCCAGGCTGGCTTTGAACCATGATCCTCCTGATCTCTGCCTCCTGTGTGTCTAGGATTACAGGCTAAGACACCAGGGCCTGGCTAGAGAATAATTTTTTTGTTTTATCATGGTGCTGGGGATGGAACTGATGGCCTTGCACATGCTAAGCAAGTGCTGTACCACTGAGCTGCATTCTCAGCCCTTCACACCCCCCCTTCTTTGACCTGACCTTATCTGAAGGAGGACACATTGGCACTGCACTACTCTGCCAGTCTTGGATGACCTCTGGGTCTGGGAGATGGAGAGGGCAGCTTCCCATCTGGGATGGGTAGCAGGGTGTGTCCACTTGAGACTGTAGCTCCATGGATGAGAGTCTCATAGGCTGGTCCATTGTCCAAGGGCTGGGGACAGGAAGACAGTGAAGAGAGGACTTCATGCACCATAGTCAGGAAGCTTGCCAACTAGATGGAAGACTAGAGGGTCTGGGGGTGGGAAACTGCTTCCAGACTGAAAATACTTAGGCTCGGAGGGTTGTGAGGGAATGGGGAGGACCAGTGATGTCCTCAGGGATGAATTACTGGGGCAGGGGTCTCAGAACTCTGGATGGGGGTTCAGAGAAAGCTGACATCAAATTCTGGAGGCAGGGGAAAGGACTGGGGCTGAGTACTACCCATGTCACTGAGGCCACTGGCAGAGTAGGGGTTCAGATGCAATGCAAACAGAGGGCAGAACCCCAGCCACTGGATTGTATGGAGCTTTGATGTACCCCTTTGGGAAGTGGGGTGATGAGGTGTGTGTGGTAAGATTGCAAAGGAAATTAGGAATAGATTTTTCAAATCACTTCATTGTCCCAGTCCAGCTATTATGAAGTGGTGCTGGTGCTTATCTGTAATTAATTAATTTTTCTTTCCTTTTTTTTTTTTTTTTTGAGACAGAGGCTTGGTATGAAGCCCTGGTTGGCTTAGAAATCCTCCTGCCTCAGCCTCTTGAGTGCTGGGATTACAGGCATTCACCACCACACCTTAGGTTCTTACCTTGTTTTTTGCCAGGCAGGTGCTTAGTCCCTGCCTGGCACCTGCAGCTGACCAGTTGTCCCTAGTTCTTGCTTTTATTACTGGACAGAGACCCTCCTATTTATGCTTCCTGCATAGCTGGAATGACAGAGAGTGCCACCACACCCAGCTTTTTATTGGTTGAGATTGGTATGAGCCATCACCCCAGGCCTCATTTTTAATTAATATTAATTACAATCACATTGGGAAGGGTCAAACTCAATTTTATCCCTGTGAGTTTAAACCAATGCTCTGTGCATTCACGAATAGAAAGGAACCTATTACCCCCTTTTAGCAGCTCTTCTTTAATGAATTTAAATCAATACTGTTCACAGGCCTGGTAAGGAGGGGGGGTAGGGAGGGAGAGGGAGGGGGTGGGGGAAGGGGGGAGAAATGACTCAAACATTGTACGCACATATGAATAAAAGAAAAAAATACTGTTCACAGTCCCACCCAATTTGTTAATTTAACCCAAACTTTTTTTTCACTTTTTATGTGTTTTTAAAATTATTGTTGCTATGCTGGATGTACATTGTTATATTTACAAAAGTTCTTACAATATATCATAGTTGAATTCACCCACTTCATCATTCTCCTTTATCTCCCTCCTCCCTAACCAAAACTTTCTATTTAAGGGCTGGGGGAAATGGTTCACTTGATAGATTACCTGCTTAGCGAGCTCAAGGCCTGGAGTTCCCATCCCAGTACAGCAAGAACAAACAAAGCAAACCTTTTTTTTAATTTTGTGGTACTGAAGTTTGAACTCAAGGCTTCATGTTTGCAAAGCAGGCACTCTACCACTTGAGCCATACCTTGAATCTATTTTGCTCTGCTTATTTTGGAGATTGGGGGTGGGGGGGTCTCTCAAACTTTTTATGTGGGTTGG